AGTTTAAAATTGTAGTAGCCAACCTCCATTGAGGAGAGGGCACTTTAAGAAGAAGAAGAAGCCTAATTTTTAATTTTCCTACTACGGGATTGTAATCAGATCCGATATATGTTCCTTACTGATTTGTTTAAGGCTGTTTTATCTAGAAATCCAAGTCCGTTATAATGATGGGGTAGGTTATTTCCTGAGTAATAAAGTGTCGCTTTTTCTTTGGTACATTTACCACTGTTAGGCTATCTGATTTCGCTAAGTCCTATGATATCTGGGTCGCATCGTTCCATTTCTTGTATTATATTGTCCAGTTTACCGGCGGTCTAAAGACTTTTAACGTTTCAAGTAATCAGTTCTAGCTTTGGGATTAATGCCACTTTCGAGTGGTTCCTAGTATTGTTTTTCTTCGCAAAGATTCTTAGCCACGAAGCCCTTTGGCCACTTATGGCCTGCCACGAACTAGGGGCCTTTGCTTGCAATGTCTTTTCCATCCTTGTCTTTCTTAGGATATCCTTGGGGACCTTTAATACGGTTTCCCATTGCCTTCCGTTTTTTTTATGCCGTTGACATCCTTTGTTCATCCGCCTTTAACAGACAGTTTCCCACCCTAAGGAGAAAAGAGTGCCCTTCCTCACCACGTATGCTCATCCGCCCTTTATTCAGAGACTATTGGCAAGGTGAAAGGAATCGCTTATACTGGCGACCGTTCGGTTAAAAATGACTTTGTACTAGCCCTAAAATCTGGGGTCGCCACTTCCTCTGATAGTTGCCTTTAATTAATCATGTATCAATATTTATCAGTGATGGATTGCTCTATACAGTGGTAATTAAAATTGTGTTAAATACTGGATTGTTTTCAATAGAGGAACTTTTTTCTTATTTACCGCTAACTTGATTTTTGTGACATGTCCGCTTTCTCTTCCCATTGATTTGAAATAATATTAAACATCACCCAGTAAACAAGTGACTATTCTTAATATCATAAGTAACATATTATACTCTTGCTCAAATATTACTCCATAGTGTCGTTTTAACAAATCTATTGTGAATTGATATAAGTCGTATAATAAAAATGAAGCTTATTGATCTGTTGAGTTTCTATTCAACTACTGCTTTCATTGCAAATAAGTGAATATTAACCGACGAGCGCTAAAATGGCATTTCTGCTAATTTTGTGCTACATATGAGTCTGTGACCGAGAAGTTCCAAACACACCGATTCAGCATTATGCTAAAATGAGCTTGTCATCGGAAATTTATGATCAGAAAGGTAATTAACGAGTCGATGGAATACGGAAATTGTATATTGATATATTAAATTAACTGCAAGAAACAAAGTTGCATTAGAAAATATTCTCTATTATATTATATTTCACAGTCATTTCACAAGGATAATGGGAAGGTAAATAAAAAAGAGCTGGAAAATGATTAAACTAATAATGGAGGATAGCTTAAAAATCAGAATTATAAAAGAAATATTTCTTATATGTCATTTTCATTATTATCATGGATAAAACGGTCTTTTGCATATGCCTGTAATTTGATCGATCCATTTTGTTGGTAATCTTCCTCGTGATCTTGTTCGGCCTTCTATCTTTCCTTGGATAAGTCTTTCCATGTTTTCTGTGTCTGGTCTCATAACGTATCCAAAGTATTTTAATTGCGTACTTTGCTAATAGTCGTTTGCTGACCTTTACCTTACTTTAAACTGAAATAATTGTCATGTAATCAGTCCATGGAATTTGTAACATTCTTCTCCAACAGAACATTTATGTGGTGTCCACCTTTCTTTTTTCTACTTGTGTGGGGTTCAAGTTTTACATCCGTATGTCAGTATTTAAAATATTAAGCACTTGATCAACCTCATTTGTAGAGCTTCTGAAATTTAAGAGTCCTTCACTATTTTGGCCTTCTTTCGTCCTATTTCTTTCTGTACTGACCCTGTGTTTGTGTTAATAATCCCAAATATAAATATGACCTCACAACTTTAAACCAGTTAATAATGATTATGTGTGGATGATTGTTATGAAGTCTATCATCCACTATCATGATTATTGTCTTTGATATGTTTAACTACAGACCAAATATTTGACTTTCGTTTTCAGCTAGTTGAATGAGATCAAATAATTCTTCTTGAATATTTGCAAGAAGGGCTGTGTCGCCTGTAAAACGTAGGTTGCTTATTTTTTGGCCATTTATTAATATGTCCTTTTTCCATCCTTTAAGATTTCTTCACATAATATGCTTCCCATATATATTAAATAATTTTAGCGATAGCATAATATTCTTTAGGAAATGAGAAGAATAAATTTAAATATATTAAATTTAAGCGAGACATGGTGGCCTAACTCAGGATATCTATTGACAGAAACCGGTACTTTATATTACTCGGGAAACATTGACAACCAGCATAGACGTGGAGTAGCAATTATTGTCGATACCGAGGTCAACAAGTCAATAAAGGGTTTTGTCCCAAACTCAGAAAGAGTAATACCACTACAAATAACAACATGACACACAAAACTAAATTTGATACAAGTATATGTGCCAGCGACGGATGCAACAAAAGATGAAGTAGAAACATTCTACCAACAAATTGAAGATGCACTGAAAACAAAAAAGAATATGGAAATGACGGTAGTTATAGGCGATTTCAATGCAAAAGTCGGCAAGGGAAGACCTGTAACAATAATGGGAGATCAAGGACTATAATATGAACGTAATGATAAAGGAAATCGTCTAATACAATTCTGCCAAGAGCAAAGTCTAACAACCACAAACACGTTCTTTAAATTAAATTACCTAGACGGTTATATAATTAGCGCTTACCAGTAGATAAACCGGAAAAAGTGGTAAGAATCCAAATCGATTATATATTGATTAAAGCGAGATACCGTAACACCATCAAATCAGTTAAAACTGGATGACCGACGAAATACTTGGCAAGATGGACTCTAGAAGACAAGCCAAGAACAAAGACAGTCACTAAAAATGATAAGAGAATCAATACAAACTTACTATGGGGAAAAATATAAAGAGATAGAAGTTTTTCAGAACAAATACGACCTATTCAACCTACATAAAAAGTTTAAAGAAATGGCAGTGCTGCAAAAAAGAAACCACAACACAACTGTTTTAGATAAACATGGAAATACTATGATAACCACTGACTACAAGCTAGAACTATGGAAAGCATATATGGAAGAGCCCTTCGACGATGAAAGCGGAAACCTACAAGACATATCTTTCGAGAACAGAGCAACAAGTACAGAAATTACAAAGGAAGAAAAATTGAATGCACTAAGGAACATCAGAAACAGAAAAAGCCCTAAGCCAGATCAACTGCCTATTAATATCCTTAAGATAATAGAAAATGAGTACATAAATGTCCTCTGAAATCTCTTTAATGAAATTTATCAGTCGGGTGACATATCCAGAAAATGCACTGACCACTGCACCATAAGCCTGATATCTTACACACTTGTTTTTAAAGGTCGTCGATAAATGCATTTACCAAATACTTGATATGCATATTGAAGATTCTTAATTTGGATTCCGTAGATTGTACGTACTTGTGAAGCTCTTTTTTACATTCAACGTACTAAGGGTATAAGCCACGCTATATACGTGTGTTTCATAGATTACAACAAGGCTTTCGATAAAGTTCACCACAAAGAGCTAATGGACGTCCGCAAAATAAAACAATTTCAATACAATGACCAAATCAATATTATATAAACAGCAGGCACACATACGCATTAATGAACACACATCAGAAGAGTTTGAAATTAAAAAAGGAATGCGACAGGGGTGCGTATTGTCACCACTACTATTCAAGGTATAATCTGAAGAAATTATGAACAAAACTCTTAAGGAAGAAACAGCAGGAATAAAGGTCAATGAAACACCAATTAACAACATTAGATATGCGGACGATACTATCATAATAGCAGACAACTTCCAAGACCTCCAAAAGCTAATGAACAAGGTAGTTGAGTATGGAGAAGAATATGGATTATCAACAAACATCAAGAAAACTAAATTGACGATGATATCAAAAACCCAAAATATTGACGAAAGCCTGACAATTAACGGTAAAACTTTAAAATAAGTTGAAAACTACAGTTATCTTGGCACCGAGCATGTAGCCAACAACGAAGTCATGAGAAGAGTAAACAATAGAATGAAAATATTGAAAACCATCAAAACACGAAAGCTGAAATACCTGGAGCATGTTATGCATAATGAAAGATAAAACATACTTTAAATAATTGTACAAGGGAGAATCCAGGACAAGAGAAGTGTAGGAAGGAAAAGAATCTCATAGTTGCGTAACTTGAGGGAATGGTACGGATGCACATCAATCGAACTATTCAGAGCGGCAGGATCTAAGATCAGAATAGCTATGATGATTGCCAACCTCCGTCGCAAAGATGTATGGGCAAAGCGGGAGACAGACGGCTTCTATGTACCATGTAGCTTCGCCATTCTTCAAAAATTTTAAAATGTTTGTTTGTCTTTGTGTAGTGTATTTTTATGTCCCATTTTACATTTATAACATTCTGCTCTTGCCGGATAGGCCACAACTGACGATATGCCCCTAAGGATGATCTAGTGATCTAGTAGATCTAGTAGTAGATCTAGTGAATAATGGGCAAGATTTAATTAATACTGTGTTCGATATTTGCCCTGTACATTATCAAAGTTCATTTATTCGAGCATTCAACCTCATATTGAATTATGTTATAGACTAAAAATTAACAATAGGTATATATTTTTAATATAGTTATATACTCTTTAAAAATTTCAGAATATTTGCGAAAATTCATAATTTAATAATAAAAATAAATATTGAAATTAATGAGCCCCATGTGAGTTTCCTTTTCTCGTTTTGTTTAACACTTTATATGTTTAATTTATATAAATATAATCGGGGATAAAAAAATATTAATTAAAATAAATATATTATTGTTTAAACAAGGATAAGTTGTATACCTCAACATAACTTACCAAGTACAACTGTTTCAGGTCCTTTGAGAAATTTTGGATCTGCCGGTTCCCCGTTGATCATCCAATTGAGCTGCGCCGCTGGTTTGGATTTGCCCGATGTGCAATTCACACGAACCGTATCGCCTACTTGATAGCGAGGACGTCCACCTGATATCTTCGGACCTTCCTCTGGAAGGGCTGCAATAGAAAAAAGAACAGTTAATGGCTTCCGGAGAGTGTTAGAAAAATCTGGAGAAAGTCGGCGATGCTGCCAAACTGAGGAGTATATATTATAATTCAAGAAACCAAATAATAAAATAATAAGGGTAAATCAATTTTTATTGTTATCAATTTATGATTTTTTTGTTTTGTTCTGTATTCGTATTTGATCTAATCAATAGTTTATGCAATAACCAGATCACTTACTTAAACTAGTTTACTTATATTTTTACTTAAGTTTACATGTCACATTGATTTAGGATTACTTTGATCTTTTCAATTATTATCTTTCAAGAAGAGCTCTAATAAATCAGTTGGTCCTGGTAACGACTGGGTACCCCTTTTTTTAGATAGACATAGTTATCAAATCTCTGAACGACTTGCATCTAATATTACTAGAGCTTGGGCAGATGTCACAAAAGCAACTCTCTGAAATTGCCTCCATCGCACGTTTTAAATTACGATGAAACCAACGTTAGTGATAATTCGAGGAAAAGAAGATTGCTATGTAGAAGAGGGACCAAATATCCAGAGCAAATCACTAATCATAGTAAAACCGCCACATCAATAATGATGTGCGGTGCTGCTGATGGCACACTACTCCCTCCTTATATAATATATCGCAGCAAACATATGTGGTATGCGTGGATAATAGGGAGTCCACAGGGATATTCTTGTTGTTAGTAGTGGTTATTGCGTAAGGGAAGCTAGGTAAAATTGAACAAAAAATGGGTGGATGGAGGTAACTTGTTTTGCAGACTGGTGTGAGACCATATTATTACCACACGCAAGACGGCTGGAAGGTAAAAAAGTTATGATCGGTGACAACTTGGCGTCTCACTTTTCAGATCATATATTACAACTGTGTGAACTGCACAATATTAAATTTGCGTGCCTTCTCAGTACTTCAACACACATATGCCAGCCTTTGGATGTACGTAGATGACAGCTTTTTCGATAGCAAACAGCTATACCAGTGAAAGGGAAAATGAAATTCAAAATGAAGATTCTGTGGAAAACCAATTATATGAAGATGAAATGAATATAAACTGAATATAAACTAATGAACTGAATATAAAATGAATATAAATTATCGCCATCGTCATGGAAATTGTCATAGAAGCTACCCATACCTAAAACTTGGGCACGATACTCAGCTAATTAAATAAATAAATACTAAGCTATTTCAAAATGGGGTATTAAAGTGACCCCACATCAATGGGTGACATCCCAATGGTGACTTTTCCACAATTTTGAGATGACCTAGTTAAAAATTTACGCTAGAAAATACGGAAAAAATTATCAAAGTCACCTTGTTCTTCGGTACTAAATTTTAAAACACAAAAGGGCAAATAATATACCTAAACGGTTTAATATCGGTTACAGCTGTGTAAAAATTCTGTATCTCCAGGGAAAGAAACAATTAGTAAAGTTGTAATACAAAAAAACACTTTCTAAAACAGCGGAAGGTGAAAAAAATTAAATTTTTCCAATGGCCCACTTCGAACTTAGGCAGAGACAATAACTACCGAGTATAAATCGACAGGAATCGTCCTTTAAATGAAAAACCGATATTCTCGTAAAACCTTAGGACTATCATTCTGTTCCTTTTCCTTCTTCTGCCCAAGTCCCAACTCTACGTTAAGCTTTTTCAGACTCCCACGCGCCATATCAATAAAAAAAACTACGTATTTTCTCTCTCCACGGTCTCATAGTGTTATTCAAGCTATTGTGGAAACCCTTAAATTAAGCGTCGAGATCAACAGTGTTGCCATATGAACGTACACTACAACAAGAATAAAAATAATCTTTCGTTTTATGTATTTGTTGTATCAAAAGTAGTTAAAATCTAAGTATTTTATAAGTAACTATGGGGCTTTATAGAATATTGGATTGTCCATTTAAATTAAATTATTTCCGTAATTGAAACTAAATAATAAAAATAGAATAAGTTACAACCAACCTCTTCAAACAATAAAATAACTAATACGTAAGTTTTTTTTTATTTATCGTATGGCATTTGACACATTTACATTTAAATTTACATATATTTTGTATAAAACATTACACTATGTTTACAAACAAACATCTAGTTTATTTATATATTCTATCGACTCTGGAGGCGCCATTAGGAAATCCTCTCACATAATTAGTCCAAAGCTACTTGAATCGGTACCGGTTGATCAGGCAGGTTTCCGACTGAACAGAAGCTGCGCAGACAGGTTCTTTCACTTACCACATTTATTGATCCAGGGTTCCAGAGAAAACCTAAAACAGCAGCCGCATTCATAGACCTAACAGCGGCCTACGATACAGTCTGAAGAGGAGGCATGATATACAAGCTCCTCCGTACAATCTCCTGTAAATCCACCGCCCCAATAATCAACAGCATGCTAGCCGACCGAACGATTCAAGTAGTCATGGTAAACGACATCAGCACCCTAAGAAAACTGAAGAATGGACTGCGTCAGGGATCTGTCCTAGCTCCTCTTCTCTTTAGCCTGTACATCGTTGATATACCAGAAACCAGATCATGAAAGTTTGGTTACGCCGATGACTAGGTCCTTGCAACAAGGTTAAAGTCAATTGAACAAACAGAAGAAATCCTTACGGCAGACTTATACACAGTGGGAAAGTATTTCCGTAAATGGAGGCTCCAACCAAACGCTACCAAAAAAAAGGTGGTTTCCAGTTTTCATCTAAATAACAAGCTTGCAGGAAGAACACTGAACGTCCAATTCGAAAACACCACATTGGCCTACAATAACACACCAAAGTACCTTGAAGTGACTCTTGATAGAACCCTATCGTTCAAGATATATCTGTCAAAAACAGCGGAAAAACTTCCAAAAACAACATCATCTAGAAACTGTGCGGCACAACATGGGGAGCATCGGCTTCCACTTTGCGATCATCTGCCTTGGGCCTTGTATTCTCAACCAGGGAATACTGCTCTTCAGCCTGGCTTAACAAACCACATACACACAAAGTAGATGCCCAATTGTACAATACAATGAGAATTATTGCTGGTGTTATCAAATCCACCCCTACGCAATGGCTCCCAGTCCTGAGCCACATTCCACCACCCAGACTACGGCGTATACACTCCTTCACTAGCAAAAGATACTTAGCAACGAGACCCTGCCAATTCATCAAGATATAGATGCTGCCAACGGCAACCGTTTACGCTCCAGACGATCGCCAATAAAAACAGCATAGATTGCAGTGGAAAATGAGTTTAATTTAACGACCACTTGGAGTCGAGAATGGATGGAATAACAAAATAAGTAAGAGTAATTTAATATCATTAGAAACTTTCAAAAAATTAATCTGGGGTTTAGATAAAGGGCGATACAGTTGTACACAATAAGGGCGAGCGCCCACCAAAGTGGCGTGGCAGTGGCAAGTAGCAAGTAGCACGCGTCTAGCATAATGTAACCAATGAAAACGAATGATTCAGCTTACACCAAAATGACAGTAACGTCATTCGTTCTAATCATTCGTTAGGATTGGTTACATTCTGCTTGACGCGTGCTACTTGCTACTTGCCACTGCCACGCCACTTTGGTGAGCGCTTTCACTTAGAGATTTATTGCACTATCAGTTTGTTAAAAATAATTAAAGAAACTTAATAACTCATTAATAAAGTGCGAAAATATATGTATTTGTTTGACACTTTCCACGAATATTATAAAATAAATTAAAGAATGATGAAGCATGGAATGATGTAACTAATAAGCTTGGCGAAAAAGCCATATCACTTTAAACGCTTTCGAAAAAATGTGAATTTGAGACAGAGATCTATACCCAAATTTTCCTTGAACTAAATACTACGCATTTACTTCTGCCCATAATATTTACAAGATTTTTTTATTAATGGTGTTTGTATTATCTAATCTATCTATCTAATTAGTCTTCTTCGGTCCATCTTTGGACATAGGCCTCCCCAATACTTTTCCATTCTTCTCTGTCTGTCGCTACAGTCATCCATCTAGAGCCCACGTGCTTCTTGATATCATCTGCCCATCTCATTTGGGGCCTTCCTCTGCTTCGTTTATATTCCCACGGTCTCCAACTTATAAGAATTTTGTTCCATCGGTCTTCTTTTTGTCTTATATTGTGTCCGGCAAATCTCCATTTCAATTTTGCAACTTCTTGTCTAACATCCCTCACTTTTGTTTTCTCTCTTATCCACTCGATTTTCTTCTTATCCATTATTCTTATGTGCAACATTTGTCTTTCCATTGCTCTTTGGGTTTTTATGACTTTGTCCATCTTTGCTTTTGTAGATGTCCACGTTTGGGAACCATAAGTAAGAACAGGGAGTACGCATTGATTATATACTTTGGTCTTAAGATGCTGTGGATATCTTTTGTTTTTAAGAATGCTGTTTGTATTAGTTGGTACATTAATATCTCCTTTTCAAAATTAAACTTAACTCAAATTATTGGATAGTTGTTCCCTTGTTTCCATTCGTCTTTTCCAGTTACTTGTGTACCTTTCAATGCTTTCTTTTATTAGATGATCAAGTTTCTACAAGTATGTTTCTGACATAGGAAAACATTTTAAATATACTATGACCACTAGTAAATTGCACACTAAATATCGACCTTTTTTTATTTCTTTAATCGGTATCAATCGGTCTCAGTGAGAACTCATCGCAGTTTTCTATTATCATGAGATTAAAAGCATCTTCAAAAATCGCCCTTTCATGATATTCGGATCCAAAACATCAGAGCTCACAAATTTCACTAACTTTCATATTCTATTAACACGCAAAGGACAAACTTCCATATCGTATCACTAAATTAAATAATGAATACAAAAACAATAATCAGAGAACTTCATGTTTTTACCTCATTGACTTAATAAAGTTAATGAAAAAATAAAATGAAGTTTTCTACACAGACAAAGAGAGAATTGCTTTTTGGGTTTCCCGTTCTAATATATCTATAGAAAACACAACTCCCTTGATGTAATTTTTTTTTATTATTGAGTTAATGCCTCGACAACTATGATCATTGGCATGGTACAGTCAGGTACCTAGTGTAGTGTGTGTATGTAGAGTAATTGTCTTAATACTTAGCAAAGTCGACGTCATTGTCTTTGCTAAGAGACGCTAATTGTATCCGAACGTCTGCGGTCCCTCCGGTGAGTACCGATCGCACATGGATAGAAATTATTTTCATTCATTAATTTTTAATAAAAAAAATTTCTCCACCCAGATGGGATTCGAACTAAAGACCTTTAGGTTTAAAGGTAGGCGCTCTTACCACTAAGCCACAGAGGGGGTTATCTTGATGAAATTAAAACATACAATAAAATGGAAATAAAAAATTAAAAAAAAAATAAACCTTAAAAACCAAAAATGTCCTGTCTTTTTTTTCGTCATTCGATGCTTTACAACAATATGACCGACCGTCAGTAACTAAACAACGCTTATCTTGCCATGATGTCGAAGAAAAAATCCACGAAAACTCTTTCATTCAACTATTTTCCGAGGCCATAAATAACCCATGCGCTGAGTATGGCCCATTTTTGCTTTGTTTCTTCATTTTTGCACAGAAATGTGGTAATATCCTATTCTTGATCCAATTTAGTATAATTTGGATGAGTTTTTATTCCACTGATTGCTTGAAGATATACTTTAGTTCTTGATGTAACTAGATCCTTTCGATTAGTAGAAACAATTAGCGTTTTTTTCTGCTCAATCCGAATTTTCATTACCAGTACTAGCAATACCTAAGTGTGAAGGAATACAATGATAGAAACTGAGGCACCTGTAGTTGCTCTTTGATGGGAGTAATTGTGTATCTCATTACCCATTTAGTGTTGTGAGTTTACAATTCATAATACGTGTATCAATAATATGGAATCGGTACATAATATGCCTACACGTTTGCTGATTTAGGTGTAAATTCCTAGAGCCTTAGGGACTAACAATTTTTCCAGGACTAACTGATTTTAATAAATTTGGTGATAACAATATCTTATGAACAAAATATGCAGAAGATTAAGCGTCATTTTTCTATAAACAATATATACACACAAAATACTAAAGGTGACGACCAGTAAACTATATGAATAAGTTTCTGTTAATATTTTGTTTCAGTATTACAAAAATAGCTTCAAACGTCGATTATTTAAAAATACGTATTAGTTCTTCTAAAAATGTCCAAATATCTTTAAATTTCACGAGATACTGGAGACAATATTAGAGATATTCAGTTATATCACTTTCAAGAAGTTTCACTTAACAGTTATTGAAAAATTGTAATTGTTTAATCCAAAGAGCTTTTTTCTCCAACGTTATTATGAGTATATTATTGGGTCTACATAAATCCTGAAAGCGCCAAATTAAAGAGAGACGTCTATAATATCAAACTCATTGAATTTTTACAAAAGTTTTATATGGTTTTAAGATTATAAACATTAAAAATAATAACACATTAGTGTGTAGAAAGCTAATTTTATTTAATCGGAATGTTGACATTTTTACATAAGTTTAAAAAAACAATGAAACAATTGGTGTTTCAACTCGTTGAACCCTAGTAAGTTCTTTTTTTAAAACTAAATTCAATAATTCAAATTTATAAAGTCGCCATATCTCCGGTTCCAATCAACGAAATTTAACGTATTTTGAATTTGTTAAATGCAATTAATTAATTTGTGAATTGTTTATTTAACTAAGTAATCTATTTTTTTTTTATTCCATTATCATTACTACGGCGATAATTAATAAAATTGCAATATGGTCATAAGTGGACAATGAGAAATTTTAATTTAACCTAAATTACTACTGTTCCCTAAAATTAAGAGCTTACCCCATAGTGTCTATTATCTTAACTAACAAAATAGTGCACTGTACTAAACTAGTTCAAAAGGCTTTGTCCTCTTTAATCTTTTAGTTTTCCCAGTAGTATCGAGAAGCTGGATTATCTTAATATTCTCATGCCTATAAAGTTATTGCTCGTGACTTCCTGCCATCTTATTGATGATTATGTCAACAGTTTCCATTCATAGGTCCTTATGGAGGTCACTGTTTGTTACATACCATAGAGCATGTACAATATTTCTCAGTATTTTATTCTGAAATCTTTGTATTACTGTTATATTACTTGGTCTAGTACACCCCTTAGTGGGCATCCATAAGTCCATATAAGTCTCAATATTTGTAAAGTAATAACTTTTTATGCATCAACAATGTAAAGTTTTTTTCAACTAGCTAATATATTTTTTTCTACAATATCTACATATGGTACTTGGCTATTATTAATTATAACTGGTATATACTGTATATTTTTGTTGGTGAAATTAACAGGGACATATTTAGCTTCTATCAGACCGATTCTCCATTTTTGGTGTCCATTTATGGATTTGGGCCCTGTTGGTCGCTTCTTCACTAGTCATTCCTACCGCTTGGATAGCTGTATCATCAGCAAAGGTGGCAACTGTGTTCTTTTCCAGTTCAGGTACATCACACGTGTATAGTAGGTAAAAGACCGGTCCCAACACTCTGCCTTGTGGAACACCTGGCATTTTTCTAGATTAACAGCGAATAAGAGATGTGATTGGGGATCATACATAAAACAATAATGGTATAATGTACGTTCAACTGGAGGTAGACAGCAATTTTTTGTGTTTAAACACGAGATCGGAAGCTTGGTTTAAGGAGTTAGCGTAGACTTCAAAAGGAGCCTTTGCTCTTTAATGATCATAGGAGATTCTTCTTCAATATAAAAACTTTCCGATGGGCTTAATCTAAAGACAGCAAGACAATTTGGGCAGATGCATTTTGAATGCTATTAACTGAGTTTATAAGTCAGTTTCAGGCAGACATATGAATTAGGTTACCATGATTTAGATTGATCTATACGAAGAAGTAGATTTTAAATGTTGCTTCATCTGTTTGTTTAGCCCCTCTTCTTAGACGTGGACAAGAAATTTAATTATGTTAATTATTTTATCATTTATTTTAATAATTAGTCTTAATTTCTTGTATAACTATTCTCCACGGCATTATTTTACAAAATACGTTTTTTTATATTAACTATACGAAGCATATAGCAGTAAATTTGGTTAGGGAATATTGCATTTTTTCTGAATGAGGATACTAATTATTTAAATTGTGGAAATATGATATATTAATATTAAAATATTAATACCCTCAAGAGTATTTTGAAATCAGCCGCATCTGCTAGTTGAGGACTTACCTAGTAAGAATTCATCAGAATACATAGCGTGTGATAATGATTATTTTACGATAGACTATGTGTGATCAATACAGATAAAAAATGTGGTAGTACTAAGAACAAAGCCTTGTGTAAATTTTTTACCATTTTTAGCCTTTGTAACATCCTGTCCATTATAAAATGAGGAATAGAGGCCGACATGTTATCTTTTAAATTTAAGATTGATGTTTTTAGAGGATTACTGTTGTCGAAGCAATATCAAATGCTTTTTTAATGCCAAGGGCGATTACCTCATTTTTATTCACTGGGGAGGAAGAAACATTTTTTTTATTGTGTTAATGCCTCAACAACTAATGGTCATTGGCATGATACAGTCAGGTACCTAGTGTAGTGTGTGTTTTTGTGTGAAGAGTAATTGTCTTGATACTTAGCAAACTCGACGTCATTGTCTTTGCTAAGAGACGCTAATTGTATCCGAACGTCTGCGGTCCCTCCGGTGAGTACCAATCGCACAAGGATAGAAATTATTTTCATTCATTAATTTTTATTAAACGAAAATTTCTCCACCCAGGTGAGATTCGAACTCACGACCTTTAGGTTTAAAGGTAGGCGCTCTTACCACTGAGCCACACAGGGGGTTGAAGAAATATTAAACTGGAAGATTAAACTGGAATGTAATCAGCGTATTCGTAATACAAATTTGGGTCCTATACATTTTCACATAATATGCATGCTATATTTGTTATATTCTTACACAATGTCACAAATTTAACATTTGTTTTATTACTGAACGCAAACTCAAATACGTGAACAAAATTATACCAATCCTTAAGAACACCACATCTAAATTAAATTTTTTACCTAATAGTCCCTTTTTGATATAACGAGATTTGCCTAACTTGTCCCCATCGAATAAATTCCAATTTAAAAAGGATTCGCAAAGCCAACATTTTAGGATTGGCAGTGGTCCTGTGGGATTAAATAGGTCTTTTTTATTGCTTCTAAGAGCCAACATACTTTAGCAATAAATTAACTGAATAAGTTTTATAAATTACAAGTTCCGTGCGGGTGCACGACAGAATGATTGTTTTTTTTTTATTACTTACATTCTAAAAAATACATAAGTATTTTTTCGTTTTTAATTTTTACACATTTTTTTTAACCTTTAACTTGACGGTGTGTACTCCAGGATACGTTATATTGAATTCATTGGTTTTTTCCAGTAGTTTTATCAGAGATCATATATCTCTGATAAATCAATATCTTTCCTGTGCACTAGTTTTAAAAAGCACGTACCTATATATTAGAATTTAATACCTTATCTCTTACAAGAAATATGGTATGTGATTTCCCCACATTTTAACCTAAATATTTTAACCGATAAAGCTCACTCGCAGGACATAATCCGCGAGAATCGTATATACCCAACTGAAAATTTCGATTAGGTGTATATAGCGAGCGTTGTCAAGGACTTATCCAATTTTCTCCTAGTAATCCACTCTTATCATATAATTCCCTTTCACGCGTGAAAAGATAGAGGAAATCTATTTCAGAAGTCCAATGAAGCAACATAATATCAAACTGCCAATAAGTTTCTGTAATCATGAGCGGGGATTATGCGGCAACGTTTCGGGCTGGAATCTTAATTTGAATTTTAAATATATTTTCAACTTCTAAACCAAATATTTGCTGAAAATATTGGAAATGATTCTTTATCAATCGTAACAAAGATTGTCTTGGGTAAATACTACCAAAACTACTCATAGAACTTGTCATCTATCATTATTAGGTATCTGAACAAGTTAGCATTCAGGTAACATTTTAATGCTTTGTAGATTGCAAATAGTTCTTCGTTATATAAGGTGCTAAAATTTAATGTTATTTATGAAGTAGGATAGTCATTGTATATGAAGGTTTTACCTACGATTCGCAAATGACACAGCCCTTCTTGCAAATAGTTAAGCAGAGCTGATGGAACTTATACGACTGATCGAAACGAAAGTCAAATATTTGGTCTGCAATTAAACATATTAAAGACAAAGATCATGATAGTGGATAGACTACTCAACAATCATCCACACATAACCACAATTGACCGGTTCGAGGTTGTGAGCTCATAATTAAACATAGATGTGATCTAGCAAAAGTTGTCACAACAAAAATGACCAAAATATGGAAGGACTGTCAAATTTCAAGAGCGATAAAGGTGAGGTTGATCAACTGCTTAATATTCCCAATACTGACCTACGGATGTGAATCTTGGACTCTGAGATAATCGGAGAGAAGAAAGATAGACGCCACTGAAATGTTCTGTTGGAGTCGAATGTTACGAATTCCTTGGACCGACCGTAGAACAAATAATTCAATTTTAAGAGAGCTAAAAGTTAACCAACGACTCTCTAGTAAAGTCCATCTTCAACAATTAAAATATTTTGGGCATGTTATGAGAGCAAACACAGAAAATATGGAAAGACTCATAATACAAGAAAAGGTAGAATGCTGAAGATCACGAGGAAGATCCCCAACAAGATCGATAGATCAAATTACAAGAATATGCCAAAGACCTATGCATGAATTAAAAGAAATGACCAGAGACAGAGATCTATGGAGACGGACAATACACGACAACACGTCGACCACTACACTCCCCCTGGGGGTCAGGATTGAAGAGAGAGAGATGAAGGTTCATCCCACTCCTTCTTTTGAAGACTTGTGTGGAAATGAGAAGCAATGCTATTGTTTCTGACGGGATTTTTACCATTTGTTGTAACGTTTACGTCATATGCTAGGGTGCACCTTGAATCCAGTTGTGCTGGATACTCTTGATGTCGTCCAATCTCATTCTAAGAGGACGTCGTTGATTACGATGAGTATCGTGTCTAAAGCTTTTATCTTCTTAATTTTAGAGGCATTCCTTCTGATAAACATAGTAAGTTATCTGTGGGTGTGATACAAAAAGCTCCTAAGGCTATTCTTACAACAGCATTTTGGATTGTTTGCAACTCTTTTAAAAGTGATCGACTTAAAGCTCATACAATATGGAGCCATAATTGACTTTATATTCATCAAAATATCTATTTATTATGATATCTTGATCCCATTCCTAATATTTTGTAGATAGGACTTTTATCATGCTCAAATAGTGTAGGTAAGATTTTTTTAGATGATATATGCTCTTTTTTGTCATTGCCAAGAGGGTAGATGTCTAATTATTTTAGTATTTTTGTGAAAGTTTGAACAAAATTTATTATGGCAGGTGAACCATACCCGACTTCAAAAAAGTTCGTCATTTTTTAATAATTAAAACACTTTGGTTTGCATCTTGTGAGTTGGCTTTAACATAAAATGAGTAAGTACAATCTTGTCAACTTCAGTTACTTTAGCTGTAGAGATACTTTTTATAAAAAGTTTTCAACGTGAGACTGAATACGCAAAATGCTATTTTTGATGTTTAATTTATGAATCAATATACTATTATTAACATTGTACATTAGTACCATATATTTATTAACCTTTAAACTTATGCAGCAAAGAAGAACCCGAGAAAAAGAACAAAAATATAAAGATCTCAGAAGAGAAGAGAAGTACATTCATCGAAGAAAAAGAAAATAATCTAAACCAAGGATAGGACTATGTAAGGATAAGGAGGGAAATATACTCAATACAAAATAAGAAGTATTGAAAAGGTGGGTGGAACACTACAAGCAAGCAACAATTCAAGAAGTAACAGAAAGTATTGGTATATCCGCGGAACTTAATTAAATGTAGAGGTGCTACTCTGACTAATCATAATATAAAATCATACTGAAAGCCTAGAATGAGGAACAAATCCCAAAAGATTGGTGTATTGGGATCTTTTGCCCGCTACACAAAAAGTGTGATCAACTGGAATGTAGAAACTATAGGGGAATAACCCTACTTAATACAGCATACAAAATATTTGGGAGTATTTTATATGGTCGCTTGAGTGCATATTCAGAGGAGATTATTAACGAATATCAAAGTGGTCTTAGGCCTGGTCGATCAACAACAGACCAGCTCTTTGTGCTAAGGCAAATACTGGAAAAAACCAATGAATTCAATAACGGCACAAATCATCTTTTCGTAGATTTTAAATCGGCCTAGGATAATGTTATAAGAAAAAAATTGTATGAAGCCATGGATAAATTCTACATTCCCGATAAACTGATAACATTGGTTAAGGCTACAATGCGTAAAGTTTTTTGCAAAGTCGAAATACAAGGCGAACAGTTACAGACATTTGAAACGCGTGTTAAGTTGTGCCAGGGAGATGCGCTGGTGTGTCTTATTTTCAATATAGCTCTGGAAAAGGCGGTCTAGGAATGTCCAAATAGACAACAGATGAAACATTTTTAATATTCATCCCAAATTTTGGCATATGAGATGATGTTGATCTAGTTGCCCGCACGACACGCAAGCTAGAATAAATGTATACCATCTTGTCAAATGCCTCAAAAAATATGGACCTGCAGGTAAATGAGGAGAAAACTAAGATAATGGCATCAACACCGAATAATTCAGCCAGAAACATCGGTCACCAATTCACGGTTGATAACTCTACCTTTGAAGCGGTGGACAAATTTACATACTTAGGCTCCCTGATTACCAAGGAAAACGTCATGATAAAAGAAATCAAGCTAAGAATAATCCTAGCACACAAATGCTATTTTGGATTGAATAGACATATGAAAAGCAAAAACTTAAGCCAAAAACAAGACTAACCATATACAAAATCATTATATAACCAGTATTGACACACGGATCGGAGACATTGATCATTTCCAAGGCAGATGAAAACCTCCAGCTTATATTTCAACAAAGGATCCTGAGAAGAATCATATAGAACTGACTGGCGTTATAGATTTGGGAAGGTCGAGGCTCTTTTATAGGGCTGTAGCACTAATGATGATGATGATGATTTATTAAACGTATTTGAAAATTCATCAAACTTAGAAAGTGTTTAGAATAGCTTTTTAACCTTAACCGGAACTTAAGTTAAATTCAACTTATTTTTACTAAAAAATA